CTCTGGTATGGGAGGGAGAAGATGCTGCACTCCTGAGGTTAGGAGAGCTGTCTTAGGGCCTCAGCAAAAGGAGGTTAAATCAAAGGCCAGAAGACTGTCACCCAATCAGGAATGAGGAACAGAGCATTTGTTTGTTTTATTCACCTTCAAACATGGAAATAAAAAAACTAATAAGAGCTAAACTGGCCTGCATAGCAAAGAGAGTGCTAGGCTGGTGCTACTCTCCCAGTTCTTCTAAATCTCTTCCTTGTCAAACGTGGGAAGAAGTTTCCAGATTGCTTCAATTCACAATGTCCAGAAACAAGTTTACATCAAAGTCAGCCCCTCTCCTGTGTCAGTGCCTGGAGTCCTGTGATCAGGCCTCCCTCTCCCTGACCCCTCCTTGAACTGGATTCTTCTCCCCTTTCCCACCTCTCCCCTGGCCCCTTACAACGCTCATTCAGGTGTTTTTTTAAAAAGACTCTGCAATACTTTCAGATATCGGTCCTATCTTCATTGAGTGATTCTCATATTAAAGCATATGGGGATTTAAAAAAAAAAAAAAAGGTGAACCTTGCTTGTTGTAATCTCCCTCGGTGATCTCAGGCCTGAGAAACACTACCTTAACTGACACCTGGATCCTCTCCATACTACTCTTGCCTCTCTGGAAATGATGCATCCCCCCTTCCGTACCCTTGTAGTAGCAGACAAGCAGGGGCAGTTAAACTCAGATCCATATTGCCTCTTCCAAATCCTGGCTTTCCCATTCTCATGCGAAAACTAACAAACAAAATATCCTTCCCTGCAAATACCTTCTTCACAGGCCCCCTCAGGCCCTCTCCCACCACCACCGACCCTATCTACCTAAACAACTTCTATGCCCTTCAAGATGCAAATAAGACCTCACCTCCTCCTAGCAGGCTGCCCTGGCATGCTGAGCAATTAGGCATAGCTCTCTTCTAACTTATACTCTGTGGATGCCTCTCACAGACTCTGTCTCTCTGTACTTAATAATCCGTTATTTCTATGTCTGGAGACCTCAATACACTGTGAGCTCTTTAAGTAGGAATTAAGTAGGAAGCCTAATCCAGGCATACCCAGAATATGGCTGACACTCAATAACACACCTGTAAGGGAGAGGAGGCAGGGGAGATGAGCTAGAGAAGAGAATTTGATAAGAAGAGGAGGAGGAAAGAAGAAATTTTATTGTCACCCTCCAGCTTTCCAAGAATAAAATGTTTTACTAAGCCTATATTTGGAATTGTAATATAGGGATACAGCAGAAAAAGTAAAAATCCAAGACAACTCTCCATTTTATAGAAAAATTTCAAGAAAGTTCATATATAGAAAGAATTTTTGAAATATATTTCTAGTCACCTATTAAAGGCAATATTATTCATCTCCAATTTCTACATTAGTAATGGGCTGGGGATTTAGCTCAGTGGTTCCGCTGCCTGCCTCGCAAGTGCAAGGTCCCAAGTTCGATCCCCGGTACAAAAAAAAGAAAAAAAAATTTCTAACTTAGTGACACAGATCTTTCATAACAATCCTATTCTGTTCATGGTAGCCCCCCAAAGATGTCCATGGCCCAAGCACTGGGATATGTAAATACTGTGTGTTACCTGGTACAGGGACTTCACAGATGTGATTAAGTTAATGTAATCACTAGAGTCCTTGTAAATGAAAGAGGGAGAAGACAAGGTAATGCCATAGGGATGCAGTATGAGTCTACAAGCTACTGTCATCTTTGAAGGTGGAAGAAAAGCCAACCAATGTGAGCAGCCTCCAGAAGCTAGAACAGGCAAGAGAACACATTCTCGCTTAAAGTCTCAAGAGAGGAATGCAGCCCTGACAACTCCTTGATTTTAGCCCAGTAAGACCCATTCATACTCTGACTACCAGAATTGTAAGATAGTAAATTTGTGTTAAGGCCAAATTTGTGGTGATTTGTTATAACTACAATAAGAAACTAACACACACACACACATATACACACACAAAGAAACTAACACAGTGGCCATTAAAACGTTCCCAGGGGACATTCGGTACTGCCAGTGCATGCTTTCTGTTTTAAATTCATGTCACCTCCACTAGTAATGTTAATGTGAAATAATAATTGATAGTCTTGATGACCTTGAGTCATTACAAGATCCTGAATTATCAATGAAAAAATAAGCAGTTGTAACTCCATTACTTTACTCAGTCATGGAGGTGGGTATACTATTTGATCCATGTCCCAAATACAGTGCACAAAAATATGGAGCACAAAACCAGAGTATGGAAAAATGCATGTAAGGTCCTTGCCTTTGACTCTAGCCTACATCTGAACAGGTTGGAGACCCAGGACCTCTGGTACACTGCTCATTAATTCTCTCAATCAATTTCGTCTCCTACTAAGGTTTGGAACAAAGAAGAGGAGTCCTTGAAATTTCCATTACAGCAGCAATAGATGCAAAATAACCAGACATGCTGTACTACCTGGGTTAGTAATTCAATGGACATCTCCTCTTTTAAAAATTTTATTAGTATGTTTATGATACATAATAAATATGTTTGTCATGGGGTATTGCTACATATATATCACATCTGGATCCTTTTTAATTCCCCTTTCCCTTCCTCCTTCCATCTCCCTGCTCCCCAGATTCCTTTCCCATCTCCACAAAGCTTAGTTCTCTGTTTCATATCATCTTTCTTTTATTTTGCTCTCCAAATTATTTATATTTTGGGTTTCTCATACAAGAGAAGCCATGCAAAAAGAAAGAAGGAAAGAAAGAAAGAAAGAAAGAAAGAAAGAAAGAAAGAAAGAAACCATGCAATGTTTAACCTTCTCTGTCTGATTTATTTCACTTAGCATTATGGACTCAAGGTGCATCCATTTTCCTATAAACAAGTCAAATTTATCCTTCTTTTTCGTTTCAGACTGTCTAGAAGAAGATGAAGGAAGGAAAATGAAAAACCAGCATATCAGTAAGGAACTCATATATTTTAAATGATTCACTGAATGTTAAAAGAGAATCTGGGTTAGCCCAAAATTAGCCAGAAATGTTACAGAATTGATATTCCTCATTTCCTGAACTGTCTAGTCAATTAGCATGTTAGCATACAGTTTTATTGTTTGGGGCTTTAAAAGCTCTCTTATTTCAGCCACTGTGTTATATTCCTTGCACAGAACAAACTAAGAACCAAGGGAAACCAGAAAGATGGGGACCAAATGTGAGCTTTCTTACTGACCAACTATGTGAAGGACAGCATTTAGGTGTGAGGCAACAATAGTCTTCCTAATGTTACATGAAGGAATTAAATAGAATGACCTACTGGGGCACTGGGAACTAGCAAATAGTGATCCATTCCATAGGACAGAGCTGCCCACGACAAGACCTCAGAGAAAATCCAGAGAAGGCTGAGGGAGACATCGCTTCCTTTTCTCCACCTCTCCAGTCAAGCAACTCATTCCTTGCAAGAAGGAGTAAGTAAAGGGGAGGGAGAGGCCAGGAGTGTTACTCTCATAAAAACCTTTAAACGTGCAGAGGGGAGAAAGAGGGAATAAAAGTTCTCCACTGATAGTTGCTTCTAAATGATAACAAATAAAGCTATGCTATAATCAAGCAAACTAAGTAATTATATCTAGAGAATGATGGAAGCAAAATTAGCATCAGCTGACTAAAGATCCAGTTGACTTCTAGCTCCAAAGCTAGTAGAAGCAGCAGCCCCCATCTTTCTGTGATGAAACCCAAGCAGAGTTGTGATACTACATAGTAGTACTGTGGGAACACTAACAATTGATTTCTCTGTCTCTAGAAATTAGAGCTAGTTCAAAGTTACTCCCGTAGTAACATGATTCTTACCTCATTTCAGACTTGAATGGGATAAATGGGGGAGGAATGACAGAAAGCATTCCAGAAATCACACATAGCCCAGTTTTCCCTCTCTGTGAAGAGCTCACAGAGATGGACATTGAATGATGGCAGTAATAGTTATGACAAATATGAATAATTGAAATGCTCATGAGTTGTTACTTTGAAAGTTACTTCTATTTCTTTTTTTAACTTAGAAGCAAATTTGATTAAGAAACCAAATTAATATTTTAAGCAGGCATATCAGCAAAACACATGGGCAAGAATGACCCTGAACAGATCTTTTGGTTAATGCCAGAACTAGAACACCAAGTAAAAGCAGACCATGCAGTGTAACTCATGAAATTTGCAAGACAAGCTGGGTGTGGTGGTGCTTCAGCACTTTGGAAAGTAAAACCAGAGGATTGCAAGTTTGAGCCCAGCTTGGGCAATTTAACAAATTAGCAAGACCTTGTCTCAAAATTTTTTTAAAAAATTTAAGGGGTTGGAAATATAGCTCAGTGGAAAAGTTCAATCCCCAGTACCACCAAAAACAAAACAAAGAAATTTGTAAGAATGATATTGAGTTTAAAAGGTTAGTGAACACAGTCTATAGAGTTTTTGTTTTACTCTTCAGGTATATATACTTCTGTGGAGTTAGGAGATAGGGAAATAATTAGACTGCATCTAGAAAACAAAACAGTTTTTGAAACCAGATTAGCTCTATGTATTTATTATTATTATTAGAAAACAATCATTTTGAGATTTTTAAATGACTTATTTAATCACTCATTTGGATATAAAATTAATTTCTATATACTTTTATAAACACAATGACCTCCATAAAAGGCTTATGACAGCTTTTCCTCTGCTTTTCTTATGCTCATCCCCCAATTTGATGAGGTTTTGCCCAATTCTGAGAATATTGTATAGAATAGTTTCAAATTGCCAAGAAACAAAGTAGAAAAAAAATGAGCACCCCTGTTTCTGCCTGAAGTTGGCCTCAATTCTTCTGCCACACACTCTGTACCTTCCTAGGAAGCTTTAGGTTGGCCAAGAACAAGATTTACCCTTAACAACAAATGAGTGCCAGGGTTGCTAGGTGATTGTGATATAGGAAAGCAACCTCCAATCAGAGAGAAGCCCCAGCAATCTAACTGTGACACATCACTCACTATAAATAGGGGAACGCCCCCCATGCTTAAGCCCTTCTCCTCACCATTCGTAACTGATAAGAGGGAACAACATCCACAACTCCCACAATGGTCAGATCCATCATCAAGCAGTACGGATACTCCAGAAGACATCTAACACCAACGTACAGGAAGAAGTCATATCTCAGCACCAGTTTTGGCCACAGAAATTACTCACTCTACATAAGCAGGGTCCTAAAGGAAGTTGCTCCCCAGAGGCACATATCATCCCGCACCTTGGACATGATGAACGCCCTGATCAACAACATCTTCGAACGCATTGCTACGGAAGCCCACCACCTGATGTGTTCCAGAAATCGTTGTACCCTCGCCCCAGAAGACATCCAGAGGGCAGTGTATTTGCTGTTGCCTGGGAAACTTGCTAAGTACGCCATGGCTTTTGGAGATGAAGCAGTCCACAGATATGTCCACTCCTAAACTCCATGTACCAGCTTCATCGAATCTTGAGGAAAATAAATCAAACTTAACCTAAACAATTACCTCAATGTTGAATTCTCTTCTTTTTTAATAACAGAGTAGAATTTCTTGATATTTTCCCATTTCTCTTATCTCTAGAGATGAATTGTGTTACTATTTTAACTTCTAACACTGACTAATTAGATTTTCCTGGCAACTGCCCAGGCTCCAGTTAGAAATTGTTTTTCTTATGGATATGAAAGCTTATTACAACAGACCCCTGACTTATGAACTCAATCGGTTCCCTAGGGCTAATTGTAACTCAAGTTGGTCGTAAGTCAGTACAGTTGTCTAGATATTTACCTGGGCACACGCTTTAGATAACAAGAGGCAGATGACTCTTCCATTAACCTAATTAGTCCAAGTTGTTCATATGTCAGGCCGTGTATATAAATTCAGTGCTTATTATATCTTTAAGGTTATTATCTACAGGTTTATTTGACAGCTATTTTGACAACCAGGTTACACTGCTTTTGAATTTAGAAAGACAATTTTACTCAAATATTATACCAGCAATTTGCATCAAAAAGTATTTTCTCAAGCAAACTACATTCAACCAGTGTAGTTGCTTAATGAATGTCTTTATAGAACATTTTAACAGCTTCCTTGTTTTAATTCTTATTTCCTGCATTTCAGCCAGTTCAGTTGATGACCATGTACTGTATATTTTTAAAATTTGGTTCACCAAGGTTAATTGTTAATAACATAAGAACACTCATGAACTTACCACCCAATTTGTGAACTTTAAAAACTTCACAAAGTGAGCTAATGATCTTTCCCAATATCATCTTCCTGTCTACTATCCTGAGTTTTGCTTCTTTCCCACTCCATTGCTCTTCTTTGTCCTATTGCTGTCTATGTATTGTCTGAGTATGTATACTTTGAACATGGGTTTAATTTTGCTTATGTGACAACATGAGATCATATTACATGTGTTCTTCCACACCTGCAGTTTTCTCTTAACATGGGTGTACAAATACTTCTTGTTTCTAAGACAAATTGATGTATGTTGCTCTCTTTTCACTCCTAATCCTCTATGAGACTCCATAGTTTGAAAATGCCACACTTTATTATCCATCTTCTGTTGGTGGAGGTTTGGGTCAATTTTTGTTTTTTACTATTATGAATGATGTTGCTATAATAATGTGAGTTATAACAATAGCTAAAACAGGGCCAGGGATTTAGCTCAGTGGCTCCTCTGCCTGCCTTGCAAGCGCAAGGTCCCGAGTTCAATCCCCGGTACCAAAAAAAAAAAAAAAAAGCTAAAACATATATTGCTTGGTATATGCCCAGAACTCTACATATATTACTCATTTGATCACCACAACAACCTAGTGATTAAATTATCCTACACTGCAGATGATGAAAATGGGGTCTTTGTCTGAAGCCATACAGCTGTGTTAAGTGGCAGGGCTGAGATCTGATCAGGTTAACAGTCTCAGCTGCAGACAGTTGACTACATGCTATGAACACTCTTGTACATATCTTCTGGTGCACAAAAGAATTTCTCTAGGTAAACTATCCCAGAGTGAAATTGCTGGGTCACTGATAGCCCATATTTAACTTTACTAGGTGTTGCCAGACTGTCTTCCAAAGTGTTTGCATCAATTTACATTTGTAGTGGATGAGAGTAATTTAGTTTTCTAATTACAAGGAACACATAAATTTCCTGAAGAAAGAATGGTATATTTTATGTATATTCTCAGCTTGGAACTCAGGCTATCCCAGGGGAAGGCCTCTTCAGTTCTCACTTAGGACCCACTCTGTTTGTTTCTCTTGGGGTTGCTCACTTCTAAGTCTTCTTTGTAAGAGTGTTAGGAAATGGACTTGACAGGGTTCACTCATGCTGCTTCAGTTAGGCCTGGACAGAGGTTACTGGCCATCCTCAAATTTAGTTAATCAGATGCCCACATCTGGCCATGAGGTATGGCTTGGTAAAAGAAGGGCTTCATAGTCTACCAGGGATCAGCAAATTACAGCTTTACCAAATATGGTTTCAGGGAAATAAAAAGGATTAAGATGCGATATGTATATGTACCAGCTCCTCACTGATGAATGTATTCATTATGTATCACAAATATACTAACAAAAGAAAAAAAATAACAGCCTTTTCTCATTTAACTCCACAAGATAATAAAGGTTTTTATGTTTTGGTAGGGATGTTTAAAGACCAACAGGAAAAATATTCAACAGGCCTAATGCGGCCCACAAAGCCTAAAATATAGATGCACACAAAGCAAATTTTTAAAATTAAAGACAGGTTACATTTGTGATGGTGGTTCCATAGGATTATAATGGAGCTGAAAAATTCCTATCACCTAATATTTTAATCTACCTTTTCTATGTTTAGCTCTGTTTAGATACTCGGATGTTTACCATTGTGTTACAGCTGCACACAGTATTCAGTACAATACATGCTGTACAAGTTCTTGGCCTAGAAGCAATAGGCTAACCCAGATCACTGAAGTGTGTAGTGGGCTGCACTGTCTGTGTTTGTATGATCACACTCTATAATATTTGCACAACAAAAAAATCACCTGATGATGAAATCACCTGACAATACATTTCTCAGAACAACTATACAGCATTTACTATCTGGCTGTTTACAGAGAAAGGTTGCCCACTTCTGTTTTGCACGGTGCTCTACTTCTGCGGGGCTTGTAATAGATATGTTTTCTGAGGCTTTGCCAGTTCAGCTCAGTTCACAAGTAGAAAAAGTTCATCGTTGATTTTCAAATAATTGGAATAAAAGGGGTAAACACAAATATTATTCAATAATTAGGACAATGGTCTGATTACTCACAAAACAAGTGTGCAATTAATTCCACAGTACTCGGGACACTCACATAGTTGTACAACCATCACTGCTGTCCATCTCTAGAACCCTTTCCCATCCCAAAACTGTACCCATTAAACAGTAACTCCCCATTTTCTCCCCTCCCAATTCCTGGAAACCACCATCCTGCTTTTAGTCTTTATAAATTTAACTTCTCTAGGAAACTCATGCAAGTGGAAATATCCAGTATTTGTCTGTGACTGACATTTCACTTAGCAAAATGTCTTCAGCACTCATCTGTGTGGGAACATGTGTCAGACTTTCTTTTTAAGGCTGAATGATATTTCTTTGTCTCTATATTCCATTTTGTTTAGCCATTCATTTGCTGATGGACCCTTGTGTTACTTCCACCTTTTGGCTATTGTGAATAGTACTGCTATGAACATGAATATACAAATACCTATTTAAGGCTTGCTTTCAATACTTTGGAGTATATGCTCAAAAGCAGAATTGTTCAATCATATAATTCTATTTTTAAATTTTTGAGGAGCTGCCATCTTATTTTTCAAAGCAGCAATGCACAAGTGTTCCAGTTCTCCACATCCTTGACAACGGTTACTTTTTTTTTAATAATGTCATCTCATCAATGGATATAACAGTGGCATCTCTTTCGGGGTTTTTGTATGGTTTTTTGTTTACTTTGTTAATTGGTCTTTTTGAGACAGGATCTCTCTATGTAGTCCAGGCTGTCCTTGAATTTTCTATGTATCCCAGTCTGGCTTTAAACTTCAGGTCCTCCTGCTGGAATTTCAGGCATGAAATTCAGGCATGAATGCCTCCACCTCCCTGGCCCTTCTTAGGGTTTTTGATTTGCATTACTTTAATGATTAGTGACGGTGAACATCCTTACATGAACTTACTGGCCATTTGTAACTTTGTAAAAAGGTTCATTCAAGTCATTTGCCCATTTTAAAAATCAGGTTGTGTGGGGGTTATATTTGGTGAGTTGCAGTTCTTGATATTATTCCCTTCTCAGATATATGATATACAAACCTTTTTCTCCCATTTCTTGGGTTGCCTTTTCACTATGTTGATAATGATCTTTGATAAACAAAAGTTTGTAATTTTGTTTTGCCTTTTGTTGCCTGTGCCCTTAGTGTTATATGCCACTTTATTACTTTTTCATGAGACAATTATTTGCAACATTAATAATTTTTAAATATTTTGAACTCAATTCATAAAATCAACATAGTTTCTAAAATTCAATGAGAGTTTCACACTAGCTAACACCCTAATTTTGACCCTTCAGAAACGCGTATTTCTTTTTTTTTTTTTTACATTTAAGAAAAAAAATTTATTATTTCGAAATGCTGAGTGGGAAGGCATAGACTATGTTCTGATTTACTGATAAAATATTAAAGAGAACTTCAATTTGCTAGCAGAAATTTTCACTCCATTCTTAAGCTTCTAAAAGCAGTTCTGGAAGGGATTAAACAGCTGTTCCTCTTTCCAAATTCTGTTTAATTTCAGCCGTATACTTCCCATAGAACCTTTCAGCTTTCTTATTGAATTTGGCGTTCCTTTCATTAATGTAGTCGATGTCTGCACCATCATTGTAAGGACGTCTTCGGCTATATTTGTCTCGTTTTTCAATTTGTTTTTCCAGGTCTATGACCATTCTATCAATTTCCTCTGTGGAAGGCACATGTGTCCCATGAAGAAGACTGTTGGATGTTGGGAAAAACTCTTCTCCATATTTTTCTCTCAGGCTCTCATACGTTTCCATGTCAGGTCTGATCTGCTTGGTTAGCCGGTGATACTGAGTAACTGGGCAGCAGCATAAACTGAAAATCCAAGATCAGGATTTTTTCGCTTCTTTTTCCTCTCCCATCTTTCTGCATCTTCTGCACTGATCTCTAGCAACTTCATCTTCTCATAGTCTTCCCCTCTTGCTGCACATTCCTTTTTCTTTTCTTCTTCCTGTAGTTCCCATTCCAAACGAGCTTTTTTGGCTTCTCAATTTGCAGGTAACTTAAGTCTTCTATCTTCTGCCACAACTTCCTGGTGATTTAATTTATGAGCTTCATTCCGCTTCAGATGCAGCTCCCGGAATTTTCGCAGTCTCTGTTCGCGCTTCTGTGGGGCCAGATTCTCTGCCACCGTGCGAGACCCCTCCTCTGCGATGTCCACAGGAGCCTTCTTCCACTTCAGCCGCAGCCACCATTATACGCGCCCTCTTCCTACTTC